CCTGAATCAAGGAATATACCTTAAATTATAATCGGCTCCCTAATAAGAGTATTGGAGTCTCTGGGTGCTACCCACTAAGTTCTCGGCATGCTTGGAAGCTACGCGTCCTAGGTTCAATCTTGGTGCGATCAGGGTGACGCTTACGGTGGGCTGCACCCCAAACCCTAAACCCCTTTGGGGTTTAGGATACAGAAAGGAACCCCTAACACCATAAAGCCCGGAAGCCCTAAACCCTGAACCCTACGCTCAAAGCCTTTCCTCAAGCCCCATACTCTACCTATAGGCTCCACTGTAGTTCCTTTTCGGGATACCTTATATAACATCCTTAATATATATTTGGTTAAACCAAAACAGGGAACTACAATGGAGACTATAATAGGTAAATCCAATCCTCTAAGCCCCATGTTGTAAATATCCCGCCACGACCCTGGGATCCCCAAAACCATTCGATTAAGCCATACACCTTAACTTTACAGAGGGCTCCTTAAGCAACTTAATTAGGGCTTCTTCACCTATAGAGGGCTCCTTCAACTGTAGAGCGCTCCTTCCGTTATACGGTTTAGGGTTTAGGGTATAGGGTACGGTTTAGGGATTAGGGTTTAGGGTTTAGGGTTCAGGGAGCTATAAAGAGAGCTCCTTAATTTCTAGAGGGCTCTTTATTGTAACTTAAGGTAGGTTCCTTAATGATTCTTGGGGTTTGGAGATGTATTGGAGGTCCCCCTCCACTTTAAGGACAGGGACAAGGATGGTAGCAATAAGGCTTTGAGCTGTTTATGAAGGTTTTTTGTTAACGTTTGACTGGTTAGGGTAGCAGGGTTGGGCTTACTTAACCCCTAACCCTAAACATTTGCCCATGGAGTCCAGAGGCGCCTCGATGTTACGATAGAAGCCAAAATAATTATCAATATTATTCGTAGGGATCCTTATTTTCAGTAGGCCTCTCCATCCTGGGACGTCTGGTGCAGGGTCTACTTAGCAGTGCTTGGGCTTTTCGAGACGTCTATAGTAGGGTTTGGGGTGTAGGGTTTAGGGTTTAGGGCATAGTGCTTTCTTGTGTAAGGATCTCTTTAAAAAAGGTATGTTTGTCCCGCCTCCTGACAGGAGTAGAGGTTTAGGGTATAGGATTTAGGGCTTCCAGCTTCAGATCTTGGACGTCGCATGTCACGTTTGAGGCATGGGAGATCGAGCTGGAGCAGCTCAGCAGGCTTAAGTACAAGCATCTTGGAAAGAAAGGTGCAGTCATCGCGGTTTAGGGCCAAACGATTTAGGGTTTAGGGTTTAGGGTTTAGGGTTTAGGGGTCTTTCGTATTGTTGTTGACCAAATATTTTCGGTTAAATTGAGACTTGTAGTTGTGAAGACGAGAAGCGGCCAGTCAGAATGTCAGGCAGCGACAATCGCAATGATAAGTAAAAAGGGGAGATTGCAAGCAGTCCTGACAACAAGGTTAACAAGGATTAGAAATTCCTTGCCGTCATCATCACGACCATCGTCATCATCATCATCATCATCATCATCATCATCAGTACCTGTCGCCGTCGTCGTCGTCATAGTAGTATTCGTGGTGGTGGTGGTGGTGGTGGTGGTGCTGGTGGTGGTGGTGGTGGCGGTGGCGGTGGTGGTGGTGGTGGTCGTAGTAGGCGGAGGTGTAGTAGCAGTAGCAGCAGCAGTAGTAGCAGGCAGCAGTAGCAGGAGAAGCAAGAAGAAAAAGTAACAGTAGCAGCAATAGCCGTAGCTGTAGCTGCTGCAGCAGCAGCGGCGGCGGCGGCGGCAGCAGCAGCAGCAGCGGCAATGCAGATTTTGTTGATGCTGACGACGGTGGTAATGATTATGATGATGCTGATGATGACGGAGGAGAAGAAGTCGTTTGAAGGATGAGTCGTAGTCGTAGACGCAGTCGTAGTGCTGGGAGTAGCCTCTGTAGCAGTCGTGGTCTCCGTCGGTGTCGTGGTCGTGGTGGTCGTGATAAACGCGGTGTGTAAGGTCGTTGGTGGAGGTAGTGGTGGTGTCGTTGTTGTAGGTGGCGGCAGGCGGCAATGATCGTGCCAATTCTCCCTCTTGCTCCGGGTGCGCAGGGCTGTAGATCTGAACTCTTCCTCATGTGCCAGGGGCCCTCAACCCGAAACCCCAAATGGTCCTGCCTTATGCAGCATAAAGTATCCACAACCCTTTTCTCCATGATTAAGGCCCCTATACTAAACTAAACCCTAAACCATAAACCCTAAACCCTAAACCCCTAAGCCCCTAAACCCTAAACCCCTAAACTTATAGGACCCTTAAACCCTTATAGAACCCTTAAACCCTTATAGAACCCTTAGAAGACTCCACTCTGAACCCGAAGCCTCCTACCGGAGTCTCTAGGTTCCAGAAGGTGGAGACGGAATATGCGCTGCTCGCCAACGGCGCCTTGGAGCCTGCAGATTTCAGGTTTACTTCGGTTTAGGGTTTAGGGTTTAGGGGTTTAGGGTTTAGGGTTTAGGGGTTTAAGGTTTAGGGTTTAGGGTTTAGGGTTTAGGGTTTAGGGTTTAGGGTCAGGGTCTATCAGTCTATCAGCAGTGTTGTCTGAGTTGCTGCCGGCATCCGCTCGGTGCATTCCGGTTGATCTGCCTCCCCGCACCTCTTGCTCTAATGGTTTGAATAGGTTTGGGGGATGACAGTGCAAACCTATACAGGGACCTTGAAGGGAGCAGGTTACTATTCGTTCCTATCCCAGTATGACCTGCCTCCCATAATTTTGCGGCAGTAGCCGGTTCATTGTGTACACACGCGCTTAAGCCTAAGTCAAACCCGAACTAAGGCCATGCCGAAACGCTGCAATATATCTTCCAAACGGGTAGTTCTCTATAACTAGAGTCCCTTTTGGGGTCCTTGTTATAAAGGTGCCGTACTACATTGGGGACCTAAAAGGGAGCCTAATTTAGAGAACGACCCAAATCCCAAAGTTTTCGAGCCGCCAAACTTGAGGTGTTCAGGGTTTGGGGTTTAGGGTGTATCAAGTTCGCACTATCAAGTGTCGCTGCCGCCTGCGGTAAGCAGTCTACGCCCTACCTATAGTCTCCACTGTAGTCCCTTTTTGGGGATGCCTTACAAAAATCCTTAATATAAATTTGGTTAAAACCAAGAAAAGGAACTACAATGGGCCCTAAACCCTAAACCCTAAGCCCTAAACCCCAAACCCTAAAACCCTAAAGCCCTAGACAAGCCCGACCCATGGAGTCCTCAACCCCAGCTGATCAAAATAGGTCCCAAACACACATGGGTAGTTCTCTGAGCCAGGCCCACTTGTTTGGGGTTCTTGCGTTTTTTTTTTGGAGGGGGAGGGGGACCTAGAAAAGGGACCTAAACCCTGAACCCTAAACTGACCCTAAACCCTAAACCCTATGAGAGACCCTAGTTTCCAGAATTTCTCGATGTCCTAAATCCTAAACCCTAAACCCTAAACCCTAAACCCTAAACCCTAAACCCTAAAACCTGAACCTAGGCACGAACTTCCCGAGATACAAACACCCAGCAGTCCAAAACGCGATATCCTCAGGCCTAAGGGCTTAGGGTTTAGGGTTTCAGGGTTTAGGGTTTCAGGGTTTAGGGTTTAGGGCTTTAGGTTTAGGGTTTTAGGGTTTAGGGTTTAGGGTTTTATCATTTGTAAAGCCTTACTGCCTTGAAACTCTCAAGCATGAGCCTTAATTCAGGAATGTAGGAGTTCACCTAAAACTTTACAGGGCTCCGCAGTACGATTAGGGCCTCCTGCTCCATGAACGGGTAACTAAGGCTTGTTAAAAACCTAATTCCAGCACCCGTAAATCCCTATCGAAACAGCCAAAAGCATCCATATAGTATACCTTTCACATTTGCGAAATGCGGTTATGATAGAACCCCATGAACGTGATAACACTTCATCGGGCACTTGTCTGACCTCCCTGGACCATCCTTGAACCCTAAACCCCGTAAATGGCACGCTGACAGGGACGCTTCAGGGAAAGGAGCCCAATAAAGCCTGCAAAACCCCATAAAGCCCTTCAAGGAACCCCGTACCCTAAACCCAAACCCCTAATGCTTGCACCCGAGGCTACTCACAGAGTTGGCTCAACATTTCGGTGCAGGGCCTGGAGGACGATGGTAGGGGGCCGGATCAGAATATTTTGGGCATCTAGGCATATAGGTGTTAGGGTTTTGGATTTTGGGTTTAGGGTCTAGGAGCCATATGGATGGGATTCCCAGAATCCCGTCTTTAAGTAATTACAGAAGAAGCCCAAAAGTTGGAAACCCAATAGCCTCAACCCTTAGGAGTAATGTATAGGGAATCCCAGCACTATTTGACCTTGACCAGGTTTCCAACTTTTTGGGGTTTACTATAAGTAAGCCCAGCAGGTAAGGATGCTATACTGTTTTTGGTGGGTTTCCGTATTATGAATAGATTATATTCGAGCTTAAAACCCTGTTCTGCTACATTGCTTAAAGAAGGGACTGGGGTATATTATGCTTTCGCAATAATAAGGACCCCAACATAGTGTTGGTGATTATATAGGCCCCTACATTAAGCCTAAGAGCCAAGGATAATACAGGGGCCTTAGTAGTTATTTTGGGGGTTCCTTATTATGAGTATAGTTTAATCTACCTTGAAACCCTGTTCTAAATATTAAGGCTCCTACATTATATGAACCCTAAACCCTAAAACCCCTGAGCCCCAAACCCTAAACCCTTAAGCCCAAAAGGGTAAGGATATCCCGTTCCGGCGCCAGGAGCAGAAGGTTTTCACAGAGACGGAGTCATCGAAGCTGGAGCTGGCGCCTGTGAAGTAAAGAAACGTTTCTAAGGGCCTAGGGAGGTTTGGTTTAGGGTTTAGGGTTTAGGGCCTAGGGGGGTAGTTCTCTAAATTAGGGTCCCTTTGTAGGTTCCCCAAAGAGTACGGCACCC